GTACTGCTCTTCGTAGTAGAACGTGCCTACAGGTCACCAGGGGAGCTTTAATGCCTGGGAAGGAAAACGGGCTAATGAGAGTGGGTGGTGAGGCAGTGGCTGGAGAGGACAGATTATTAGTTCACAAAACAGAATAAATTGAAAACATGGCCATCATGTCCTGGAAGGGGCCCTGAGTCCTCAGTTCAGTGTGGGAGGGCTCAGGGAAAAGGCCAGAACTGATCCTGGGCTGGTAGGACCCTGGGTCCGTTCTTGCGGCATTTGACTACTCGCGCCTGTCAGACCGACACTGGGCCCTCCGTCCCCTCATTCCTATACAGATGTCATCCTTGGTTCCTCAGACCACTCCAGTGTTAGGGACATTCCGGTCTCATCTTTACTCTGATATCTGACCTGATGTTCCTGGGAATCTAAGCCCTTTACTTTGACCTTGCTCGGGGGCTCCCTGGGGGCTCATCTGCCTCAGTCACGGGTGTTGCAGATTCCTGTCTTCCTGGTCCCAGCACTGTCTGTGGCTCCAGTAGCCCCAGGCCCCCTCCTTGCCCTGCCCCCATGCCTTCCACTACCAGGGCCTCCTCCTGCAGTAGCTTCTCCTGGGCCAATGCCACCGTTGCTATGGCGATGGCTCCAGGCTTTGCAGCCACTCTCCTTGAGATTGTCACCCACAAAGAGATTAAAGCACTTTCAGACAACCTTGAACAGGGTAATCTCTCAAACAAGGCCCCCAAAGTGTAGCCTTGGCATTATCTCTACCGCTCCATTGGGAAACTTGACATAAGTTCCCAGGGGACCAGGCCAAAGGGTCCTAAAGTAGACCAACCACCTGCCCCTGAGATTCCCCCTTGAATCTCAGTGACCTGCCCCATGATGTCCCCCTGAGATTTCTTACAGAACGCCTAGGTGTTTTTCATACAAGCGGAAGTGTTCCTAAAGTGACATCAACATGAATCATATGCGCCATATGAAACTTCAAAGGAAGACAGGTTGTTATCTAGACTAACTGCGTTTGATCAAACAGTAATACTGAAGAAAGCAAAATCCGCCTTGAAGTTCCAGCCAGCGCCAGTCTATGTCCCTCCCCCTTCCCTCACTCCAGGAAAACAATTTGAACTTCAGATCGTTAGCAACAGGTAGCACTGAGTGCCCTTGCTCTTAGATTTTAGCTTCCTTATCACTGGTATACAAGTTGCACCTCATCATTTTTTACCCTAGACAAAAAGGCTAAACAGATTAAGTGAGCTAAGTTCCTGGTCAGTGAGCAAGAGATTTTCATCCTTTTCTCCCCTTTCTCTTCCTCTCTCACAGTTGGAGTAGAAGATAAAAGAAGAAAAAATACTGGAATGGAGATCAAATAAAATGGGAATACAAAAAACACTTACACGTTAGACAACTTGCACCCTCCCTTTAATTTCTGGTGGCTTTAAAGCCTGTATGGATCAAACTGAAATACATAAAAACATATAGTGCTTAGTTTCACTCCCAAATAGGAAAAACTTTGAACAACACAGTTGTCCTTCCCTTCAGTTATAAGCCTTGTATTGGACTGCTAGTAAAAATAATGGGCTCAGGACTCTACTAGGCTTTAAATATGCTATGAAATATTAATAGATATTAATACAAATATTCATGCAACAATTATGTTGCATTTTTCTTTATGAAAAGGAAAAATGCGACATAATTGTATTTTCACCCTACAAAATTCTTTTTGTTTTTACGCTTTGGCCACGCCACATGTGGGGTCTTAGTTCCCCGACCAGGGATCGAACCCGTGCCCCCTGAAGTGGAAGGGTGGAGTCCTGATCACTGGACCACCAGGGAAATCCCTTTTTTTTTTTAATGCTAACTTTTTTTTTTTTTTGGCCTCACCACGTGGCATGTGGGATCTTAGTTACCTGACCAGGGATTGAACCCACGGCCTCTGCATTGAAAGCATGGAGTCCTAACCACTGGACCACCAGGGAAGTCCCTACAAAATTCTTTTAAATTCAATATAACAAGTAATTTAGGTGAACCAACTACTTTGGTCTGCACCATGAAATTGAAAATGGAGAATGTTTACCTTTAGAAGCTACCAGAAGATATGATTCTGAGCCTTCCTCTGTAATAATTTACTGCCTGATCTTTCACAAGTTATCTTGCTTCCTAGGCCCCGTTCTCTTCAAATGCAAAATGGAAAGACTAATACCTTCTCTGTCTACTTCACAGGGAATCGAAAAGGAAATAGTAGGTGGAAGAGGAAATAGTAGATAGAAATTGATAAAACTGTGTTTGGTATATATATAAATATGCTGGGTTATTTATTTATTTCCAAGCAGCTTTCAGATGATATAATTCACCCTGTTCCAGGCAAGTAATTCTGAGTGAAGCTGTGTCATTTCCCTTGGATTAGAAATAAACATTGTTGAGTCTTGTGGGGGGTTTTGGTGTTTTTTTTGTTTTCTTTGCGGTACGCAGGCCTCTCACTGTTGTGGCCTCTCCCGTTGCGGAGCACAGGCTCCGGACGCGCAGGCTCAGCGGCCATGGCTCACGGGCCCAGCCGCTCGGCGGCATGTGGGATCTTCCCAGACCGGGGCACGAACCCGTGTCCCTTGCATCGGCAAGCAGACTCTCAACCACTGCGCCACCAGGGAAGCCCCCACTGTTGAGTTTTTATGCTAGAAATCTGCAGAAGAACATTTCTGTGAGTGTGTGATGTTTAGGATATGGGGATTTGTTGAGACATCGGGAGTTGAAACTGGATGGAGTATTCTCATCGCACAAGGCAGAGGGATGACACACAGGGGAATGTTAAATTCAAGTAATGAATATTTATGAACAGCAACTCAGTGTCCCACACTGTCCTACTGCCTGGAGATGCAAGGTGTGCTGGGGCGGGGAGGGTCTCAGGTTCAGTGATTCACGAGGAAGACCTAAAGGACACAGCGGAGAGTTGAGGCTATGATTTATTACAGTGAAAGAACGCAAAGCAAAACCAGCAAAGGGAAAATGCTCATGGGGCAAAATCTAGAGGAAACCAAGTATAAGCTCCCAAGAGTCCTCTCCCAGTAGAACTACACAGGCTGCACTTAATTCCTCCAGTAATGAGTTGTGACGACACGTGTGAAATGTTGTCTCCCAGGGAAGCTCGTTTCAGAGCCTTGGTGCCCAAGGTTTTTTGCTGGGGGTTGGTCATATGGACAGGCTCTGCCAAACCCATACCAAAATTCTAGACTCTCAGAGGGAAAGCAGATGTTCAGCATAGAGCACATTGTTTGTACAAATAGTTTAGACACAGAGAGACATTCTTATCAGAACATGGTGGGAACTCTCCTGAAATCCAAGGTCCCAGACTCCAGCCAAGGGCCAACCTTGTATGCAGGCCTTTTGAAGACTAGCATTCTCAGGCCTGCTATATTAACTCTTTTATGCACACAGAGGCTTAAATAACTGATTGCAATACAGTTGGATAATTACAATGATTAATTCGTTCGATTAAAGTTACTGAGCCTTTGAAGGGTCAGATAGGAATGAGATAAGTTAGACATTGTTGCTGTATTTTGTCAAACTCAACTCAGCACCTCAGCTGCTCCCTGCCCACCCACTGACAAGGTGTGCTGCTATAAAAAGCTCTGTGGCTGTGCTCCAAAGTCCACCTCCCGGCCTCCTCTCAGAATCCATGGCGCATCCTGGGGGCTGTTTCTCGTCTGTCATATAACTTCTTTCTGCTTAGCCCTTTAGGTGGGTATTTGGGACTACTTTCCTGTATGACTTAACTAGATTCTGGCACAGCCATACCCCTACCAAGATTCCCAGCACCCCACATTTCATCTGGCCTCCTTGGCCCCCTCGTTCATTAGAGGAGCTGCCCCATTCGTATTTGAAGCCCTAGTCTAGTCCCTGGGGCTTATCCCTATTCCTCAGACAATAACCTGGAAATCACTCAGTTTCTACTCAGAGCCTTTGGCTAATTCTTACCCCATTGCCAACTGCTGGGAAGACACGCAGCACTGTGAACTACAGATTTCCTCACCCTTCCTAGAGGAATCCTCTTACACAGAAGCTCTACAAGCTGAGACTGACTGTTACCAGTGCCTTCAGCATCTCTGTAGCTACTGTGTTCCCTCTGCCCTTGTCCCTACTGGAAGGATGTACCCCACAACACTGCCCTCTTCCCTCTCTCAGGGGCAGTAGTAGCAGAAGCTCCAGGTTTACGGGATTCAGACTGGGATGGCAATGAATAGAGGGAGCATATGTTGTTTTCTTGGTCTCAAAATTAGCCATGTTGAATGACCCAACCAGGGAGTTGCAAAAGTCAGCCTCATCCCTGATACTCAGCTACAGCCCCGTATTCACACATCCGGAGATTCCTGAGAACTTCCAGGCATTAGTATCTGTTCAGACCCAGTTTTCTCACCCTGATGGATGTCCTTCCAAAAGAGCACAAAAATATGAAATAAATCTCCGGTATGCTCAGGAAATGCTCATAGTGACCCAAAAGACAAGGAAAAGCCACAAAGAAATGAAGATGGTGAGCAGAAACCAGGTCCTGGAAGGCTGTGAATGCCATGCCATGGGCACTTGAAAGACATGAGCCATGATCAGACTTGCATTTTTAGAAGATCCCGGGCAGCTGGAGGGAAACAAGATGGAGAGTGAATCTGAAGGCTAAGAGACAAAGATAAGAAATTTTTGTAATAATCTTATACGAGGTGGCAGGGCCTCACCTAGATCTGAGGCAGTGGGCCTAGAGATGAGGGGACAGACCTGAGGGATATTTAAAAGACCCAATAACCAGGATTGGGAGAGGGGCTTGGGACAGTGGAGGGGTGCAGCATGACTACCTGCTTTGGGGCTTGGAATCAGCATCTTTGGCAGCACCTCCTTTGAGATAAAGGTTACAGGGGGTTCATGTGGAATCCAAACAGCTTCATGCTGTAGTCCACCCTGCCGCCACCCTCTCCTCTATATCAGAAGTATTCTTATTGGGTTTTGTTTGGTCAGTTTTGGCTTTTCCTTTAAAGGTCCAGAAATGCCCTTGGTGTGTTTGACAGACTTTGAGGCCCATGCACGGGAGCAGCTGTCTAAGTCAACTTGGGATTTTATTGAAGGAGGAGCTGATGACTGCCTCACGCGGGATGACAACATCGCAGCATTTAAAAAGTCTGGTCTTCTGTATCCTTTCTATTGCTAAGCTAAGGTGTACTGGTTGAGAGCTCTTTGGAAGGTAGCAGTTCTGGTTTCTGTCTCCAAAGAAGATAGAGTACTCAAGACATAATAATGTGTTTCTGCTGTTGTTTGGGATTTGGGGGGATTTTCTTGGTGGGAGACAGGTGACTGAGGAGAGCATGGATGGAGAGACAATCTATCTCAGTGCCTCTGCAGAACTACCATAAGTGAGTCGCCTGAGTGCTGATCACGGCGGCTTTGCCCCTGACAAGATAGGACAAGAGTCCCAAGGTCTCCAGCCACCTGGGCAGGGAGGAGAAGCTGGCTGGGTAAACCTAAATCTCCTGAGCTCCTGAACTTCTGGCTTGGAGGCAGAACAGGAGAGAGGGCTCAAGGCTGGAGGAAATATGGAGACCCAAGGAGTCTTGGGGATGAAAGAAGATTGATTCAAGGGAGAAGAGTTGGGCGGCACAGCAGCGGGTAGAGCAGGGGTCAGTAAAGAGCAGCCTACAGGCCAGGTCGGGCCCATTGCCTGTTTTTGGATGGTGCACAAACTAAGGATGGGCTTTTTTTTTTATTTTTAACTGCTTGAAAAAAATCAAAAGAAGAAGAATTGCAATATGTCGAATTATATGAAATCAGAATTTCAGTGTCCACAAGTAAGTTATTTTAGAACACAGCCATGCTCAGTCATCTACATATTGTCCATGGCTGCTTTGGCATTACGACAGCAGAGCTGAGTAATTGTGACAAAGACCGCATGGCACAAAGCTTAAAATATTTACCATCTGGCCCTTTACAGAAAATGTTTGCTGACCTCTGTGATACAGAGGTCAGGAGAAAACTGGAAAATGGGATGCATGGTGAACACTATCTGCATTTTCATACTTGTTTAACACTATACTAGGCACTTCAATTGCTTTATCTCATTGTGTCTTCACAAGACTATTAGGAAAGTTGGATTATTATTCCCATTTCACAGATGAAGTAACTGAGGCTCCTACCCAAATTTGCACAATTAGCATTTCCAGAAAAATCTTCCTCAGTTTACGTATAGAAATAATAATATGTTGTGGAAAATAAGCACTTTTGGACCCTGAAGCTAAGTATCTGTTCGACTTAAAAGTTCGTTTCATATAATTATTATTTGTTAATTTCCCTACCTTCTAAAGTAGTGTTTAAGTCAAATCTTCAAATGAATTAGCCTCTAGCAAAAAAAAAAAAAAAAAAGTCGTGGTCATTCTCTGGGATTCTCTTTCTGTGACCTTTTCTTGCTTTATAGAGATTTGTTTCCAACCTAAGAGGGAAGAGACTGGAACTCCGTCCTGCTTATTCCTTCCCTTTCTAGTCCTTGTTAAGATGGATCAATCAAAGCATCCAAGTGCCGACAGTCTGGTCAGGGAGGCACAGCTCCAAGACACAGTCCTCTGACGGAGAAAGGCAGGGAACAGCGTGGACCATATGTGTACCGGGAGTTCAGAGAAGGCGGGGTTAATGTGGAATAGGGGGTTGGGAGAGGCTTCCGGAGGAGCAGAGCCTCTAGCTTGTCTATGCTGCCTACTCAGCTACCAGCCAACTGACTCCGCCAGTGGTTTCTCGGGACCCAGTGTGGTCTAGATCTGTGTCAGGAATCCGGACACAGCGCTAAGCTGTGCCTCCGTGCTGGTGAGTCATCCCACCGATAGAAAATCTCTTTGTTGTCCAGCACAGAATCCGCCTCCGTCCCCGGTACCTGAAAGATGTGTCAAAGGTGGACACGCGGACCACAATCCAAGGGGAGGAGATCAGCACCCCCATTTGCATCGCACCCACGGGTTTCCACTGCCTTGCCTGGCCTGATGGAGAAATGAGCACAGCCAGAGGTGTGAACCCAGCCCACCTTGAGGCTCCCTTCCCAAGGGCCTTAAAGTGTGCAGAGGTGTCCTTCAGAGCAGGGGCAAACAGCTCCAGAATTTCTCTAGAGAAGGGGCTTAGGGACAGCAATCTGGTTGGAATTAAGGGTAGGAAAATGAATGCTTAAAGCTACATTTGCATAACATTTCACCTAAGATTGAGAAAATACCAATTTTCCATTATAAAGAATGGTTGGGGGGGAGGGAGCTACAGGTGAATAGGAGGTGAAAATCCCACCAAGCCATCCCAAGGAAGATGGGCGCTGACTGGCCCCTCTGACACAGCATCTGGGGGGAAAGGGCTGCTCAGTGTGGCCCCAAGCGTAGGGCTCTCTTTGAACCCTCATGGGCCAGGGCTGGGACTGAACAGTGTGCCTCTGAATTTAGGATGAGGAGAAAGTCATGACGTTAAGCCCTAACACAAGGCCCTGGCAGGTGCTCTTGTCCAAATGTTCCATTTCCCTTCTCCTCCGTTGACTTGATCATCTTATTTGACAAAAAGTTTTTCACTGGGTTTTGTTTCCTTCCTAGTACCCCTGAGTTCTCTTCCCTCATCTGCCACCACTAAAAAATAAGAAGAGAAGAGAAGGAAAGGAGAGGAGAGGAGAAAGGAAGGGCAGGGGGTAAAAATATTCCTGTGACTCATTTGTAATCTTCACCCGAAGCCAAATCTGTTTTTGCTCAACTTGCCCATGGCTTCCCTGGGGTCTTTTCCTTTGACTCTGTGATATAGGAAGCAATGAATCCATGGATTCTAGAGCTGAAAGTGACATCCATCAGGTTAGGAACCAAATTTGGCTAAGTTGAAATATGAATACCCTGTATGAATATGACTGCTTTACAAAATCTTCATGGTTGAGTGTGCTGTGTTGTTTTGGGGGTGGAGCAGGAGAATGGGGTACCTCCTGTTGACAAGAGGAATTGAAAATATTCATTGTGATTAGGTCAAATTCTCTGCCCATGGGTTGTAGGATGGTAGTGACATTAACCTGTTGGGGAATCCCCTGAAAATGATTAAAGTGAGAAATGAGAAAGATGCGATCAGCACATCGTTGTCACCATCGTCATCATCCTCATTATCCCTAGTATTTGTATAGTACCTCACTTCATAATTTAAAAAAATGCTTCCATAGCTAGTATCTTATTTAATCTTGCAACAACCCTATAAGAGAGGTATTATTATCCCCCACCCCGCCCTTTTACAGATAAAGAAAATGAGACTCAAGGCCACACAGCTAAGAAGTGGTAGAACTCACATTCTTCTAACTCCAGATAGCATGTTTTTTCTGCTGCAAAGCTCATCCCTCTCCATTGGAATTACGTTTTCTCATCCTTTGCCTTCTTTAATTCCCTTCTGCTTCATTGATGAGTTCACAAGAAGCCCATTTCCTATCTGAAAGCCGCAACATCTTCAAATCGTTCTGGGGACTCAACGTCATCTCTAGCCTGAAATATTTTAATATGCAACACAGAGTTTGTTAGACAGGTTATACAGAGGAGGACCCAGACAATCTGATCAAACACGTGCAATGCCTGCCTGCCTGACAGGGAAGCAGAATGAAGTCAAGCTTTATCTTCACTCACAGGGCAAGCTGGCCAGAGGCAACACAGACTCCTAGGGCATCTCACCCCAGTTCAGAATGCCTCTGCCCTCCAACCTGAGTTGTGTCCTTTGCTTTGCAGCTGCGCAAGCAGCCGGTATCTGCTACATCACCAGCACGTATGCCAGCTGTAGCCTTGAAGACATTGTTGCCACTGCCCCCGGGGGCCTGCGATGGTTCCAACTGTACGTGCACCCAAACAGGCAGCTAAACAAACAGCTGATCCAAAAGGTAGAATCCCTGGGTTTCAAAGCTCTGGTAATCACTGTGGATGTACCCAAAATTGGCAACAGACGACACAACATTACAAACCAAGTGAACTTGATGAAGAACTTACTGCTAAAAGATCTCGGATCACCTGAGAAGGTAGGAAAGATACCAGAGCCAAGCGGGCAGGCGTTACAGGAGGTAGATTTCCATCCCTCTTTCCTCTTTTCTTTCTTTCCTCAAGAAGTCATTGGGTACCTGTTCTGTGCCAGGCACTAGGGATGCAGCAGTTCAAGAAGCAGATGTGGTTCCTGCTGCCCGGAACTTCCAGACAAGCAGAATATAAGACAAAATGTTCTTTCCCATCCCTGGCAGCCCAGAAATGTTCTGGGCAGGGCTGGGTTCTGGGAAGTAGGAGAGCTAGGGAGAGGATTTTTTCATGAAATAGGAGAGCAAACTACAAAGTTCTTCCAACATTTTCTACTTTATGCCACATTTAGAAAATGCTCAGTCTGGATGGCATACTTAGATAAATTGACTATCTGAAGAGGATGCTCATACCCAAGGTGAATGGCCCATGGTGTGTAGTCAGCCCAAGCCCCACCCTCCTCCCTTGAAAACTGGGGAGGAAATATCTCTGCACACCTAGAACTCATCCACGGGGCACCAGAGTGCTACAGCACACTTGTTTAGACAAGGTGACTACAAAGGGCACTTCTCCCATTAAAATCCTGTAGTCCAATGGGATGGAGTGCCCCAGAGAGAGAAAGCCATGGTAAAGTTGGAATCCCTTGGCTACATTAGAGGTAGTGATATCAGCCTTTTCAGCCAACGGGCAGCTCTGATACCCAGCCAAGTGACTCAACAGTTCTACTCATTAACCACAAATTGGCCTTGAGGTTTTCTGGAATCTTAGATTCCAGGGACACATTGGGATCTATAGATATTTGACTCACATGGTGAGCCAAGATAAATATTGGATAATATCTGACTTAAGATTGTTGAAGTATTGCTTAGTTCTTGTTACCCTGTGCATATCTCAATCATAACACATCGCAATGGCCTATAAATGTTTTTGCTTATCTATCTCACTTACTAAACTCTGAGGTGTTTGTTGTTTTTTTTTTTAAGTGAGGACTGTGTCTTATTTGTCTTTATGTGCCCAGATCTTGGCATAATTATTGAGCAGGGACACAAGTAATGGTTAATGAATAAGCAATGGAAGTAAAAGTCTTTTACAAAAATTTTGTTAGGAAAAGGAGCTAGAAGAAGTGTTGGGTTTTGTGGGCCCTCTTTTCAAGCTTTTGGTGGCTCTCCAAATGTGTCCCATCTTTGGAATGGGAGTCTTGAAGGAGTTCAGGACTAAAGCTCTCTTTTATTCCCCCACAGGGAAATTTAATGCCTTATCTCCAGATGTCCCCCATTGACTCATCCATCTGCTGGGATGATCTCTCCTGGTTTCAGAGCATGACTCGATTGCCCATCATCCTTAAGGGGATCTTGACAAAAGAGGATGCAGAGTTAGCTGTGAAGCACAATGTCCATGGCATCATTGTTTCCAACCATGGTGGGAGGCAGCTTGATGAGGTTCCTGCTTCTGTAAGTAGGATGACTTCAGCCTGGGTGTGTTTGTGAGTGCTCTGTTGTGTGTGTGTATATGTGTGTCCACAGCAAGGTACTCTGTGCAATTTGGTGCACATCCCCCTCCCCCTAACCACCTGTGCTCATATCTACCTGCGAATTGTTAAGGACTTCGAATCATTAATAATAGCCTAGTGTGTGCCAGGCTATTTTTACAAACTCAACGTATGTCATCTCTAAATCTCAAAACAGTCCTGCAAGATGGGCATTAGTATCCATATTTTACAGATGAGGATACTAGAGTTTAGAGATGTTAAGTAACTTGTCTGAATTCACACAGTAAGTGTTTAAGGTGAAATCTGATAGAAGAGTTGTTCCCAAGGCATGGAGGTCTCCTGCCTTCTGGAAGAAGCATTCAGCTGGAAGCTTGCCTGTCTGCATGGATTGGAACCTCATCTTTTCTCATATGACACATCCCAGGAAGAAACAGTGCCTAACTGAAGCTAATAAATAACTGTCTTTCACAGTGAAACTTAAAAATGCCCTATGAATCCTTTGCTAAAAATCTGGGACAGTCTAATTTTTCCCCTAACTTATGAATTTGTCCCTTATAGATGGAGTTTGGGGAAAGAAAAAGAAAAGGAGGGAGGAAGGGGAAGAACTTTTTAAGGGAGTTAATTGTTAATTTATTTTCTTTTTTTAAAAATTATTAAAAAATTTTTTTTTAATTCTTTTTTTTTTGGCTGTTTTGGGTCTTTGTTGCTGCATGCAGGCTTTCTCTAGTTGTAGCAAGGGGGGCTACTCTTCATTGCGGTGCACGGGCTTCTCACTGCTGTGACTTCTCTTGTTGCAGAGCACAGGCACTAGGTACACAGGCTCAGTAGTCGTGGCTTGCAGGCTATAGAGCACAGGCTCAGTAGTTGTGGCACACAGGCTTAGTTGCTTCTCAGCATGTGGGATCTTCCCGGACCAGGGATTGAACCTGTGTTCCTTGCATGGGCAGGCAAGTTCTTAACCACTGTGCCACCGGGGAAGTCCAATTGTTAATTTATTTTCATGGAGATTTATAGCTTATATTTTTCAAGAGATTCTTCTATTGCCACTTGACCCATTTTGAGAAAGGGAAGTGGGTTTTTTTCCTCTAAAGTCTTTTTTGGCCTTGTTATTATATAAGTAAGACATGTTCACCACAAGTAAACTATAAAATATACATAAGCAAAAAGAATAAGATAAAAAGCACTATCATACTGACAACAGTTTGGTAATCAACTTAATGTGGCCATAACATTTTAGGTTTGAAAACTATACATGATATTATGTAATTTTCTTCTTTCCATGTATTAATATATCGAACTCATTTTATTTCAGTAGATACGCTTTCTTGGTTTTTTTTGTTTTTGTTTTTGTTTTTTTGTGGTACACGGGCCTCTCACTGTTGTGGCCCTTCCCGTTGCGGAGCACAGGCTCCGGACGCGCAGGCACAGCGGCCATGGCTCACGGGCCCAGCCGCTCGGCGGCATGTGGGATCTTCCCGGACCAGGGCACGAACCTGTGTCCCCTGCATCGGCAGGCGGACTCTCAACCACTGCGCCACCAGGGAAGCCCGCTTTCTTGTTTTTAATGTTGTGTAATATGAATAGACAATTTATATGACCAGCTTCCTATGGTTGAACATCTGGATTGCTTCCAAGCATTCACTATTTTAAACAACACATCAGTGACCATCCTTAAATCTTTAGCACATATTCAATTACTTCTTTAAAAAAAATTCCAGGAAATAGAAAAGCTACATCAGCCAGTTTGTACATTTCAAGGCTTGTGAAGCTTGGGGGTTTCAAGTACCAATCACTGGCCTTCTCCTCTCCACCGGGCTCTACCTGATAGCAAACAGGCATACGGAATGATGGAGAGCAAGGGGCACACTTTACTATGACTCTCCGTAAGAGCTGAACTGCAGGGAACGGTCAGGCCTCCTACTTTCCATCCCAACTCTTGACCTAAGACCTTAGAAGAACACAGGTCTTCAGAACACACGCTGAGCTCTCTCACCCAACTCCTGCAAGGATGCCCACAAAGCTATCTCTCACACACCTCGTAACTGACAGAATAGAGGATGCAAAAGAGCTTAGCAGGTCCTGAGCTGTCCCAACTGTGCTGACAATAGGAGGAGAAAGCAAAGAGGCCCTCACCAACTAGCAGCAAACAGGGTAGAGTATTGACTTTTGAGAAAATGCTAATAAAATATAATACAATCGGCTTTCCCTCACTAATCAGTTTAGCTAGTCTTGCCCCCTTGGGGAGGACTGAGTAAGGAGTGGGAAAAAGTGGCCAACTAATTTTCCCACTGCACTTCCTCAATAGAGAATGAGTGTTGGCAAAGGCAGGCGCCAGAACAAGAAGAATTTCTCCTGCCCCATTACGTTGATCAGCATGTTGTTCTCCCAGGCCATTTGACCTAACAACCAAACCCAAGGTCCACCAGGGACAGCACCAAGATTAGTGTGAGGCTAGTGGGAAACCCACCCTTGGCTCAAAATTTTAGAAGGTGCCAGAAAAACTGAGTAAGGTATATAATAGTTTCATACAGTCTTTGAAAAACTGAAATTTAATGCAAAAAATCTGTGGTGAACACAATATCAACATTTTTAATAAAGACAGGATCCGTCCCTGCACTTGCATAACACTGCCTCACTCATCTCACTGTAATCCTGGCCCTGGTTCCAATAAAACTTTATTTATCAAAACAAGCCCCCAGCTCACAGGTCAAAGTTTGCCCTTTGATTTTTTAAAATTTTGTCTTCAAATATTATTTATATTTTTGGCACCCCTTAAATTTTGTGCTGGGGTTAATTTCCTCAGTCTTCTCAACCCAGTTCCCTCCTTGTGAGGGATGTGACTCTCTGAGCGAAGTTCCATCTCTATAAGATTCCATATCTAAAACCCCTGTACGTCCTCCTGGAACCAGGGAAAAGGATCAGCCAGGTTTTATCACCAGAAGGCTCCAATGAATGCCCTGTTTTGGATTATCAAAAATTAATTCTCAAACCACACTGAACCCTAGGCTGAAATTCACTCCCTATTCTGTTTCTCAAATTACTGTCAGCTCCGTTGTGCACTATGGCTCACTAGAAGAGTCCTTGCACAAGTATATTTATTCATTTCTCGCAATATTTGTAGAAATAGTTTGTAGAAATATTCCAAATAATACCATGGTGGGACTGTAAAAATACCCCTTATTTGGATATGAATTCCCTCCAGTCTTTGCATGTAAGTCACGACGTATTCAATTCTCCTCCACTTGTAAATTAAAGTACAAAGTTCTTTCCTCCCTGATTTCATACTCTGCTCAGTCTCAGTGAAGGATCTTGTTCAGGTAGAATTCCAATTGATGCCTTTGGCAGCACAAGTCCTCTTAGGGGCCCAGTTTCTACTTCTCCTCTCTGGTCATTCCTCAGTGAGGCACAGAACAGGAGCCCCCGAGGCAGTTCCAGAACCTTTTCCTCCAGGACCCTCCTCCTAGACTCTGCAGCCACTCTTCCTTATAGACTTGGAGGAACACAGCTTGGTCTGCGGCACCTTAGGTGCACAAGGCCTGTTGACCAAAGATCATGGAATGAAAGAGACAAGGTGAGAGAAAAGGTCCAGCGGAGCAACCAGGCCAGAGTGATCAGCTGTTTCTATTTTGTCTTTCGAAGTCTTCAACCCTAGTTTTACAATGTTCCTGCTGCATACCTATCCCATGTCTCAGGTAACCCCCAAAGGAGTCAGGAACAAGTTGCTCAAATGTGGTGTATTAGGAATGATGTACAGCGCAGTTACACTGAACAGGCTGTGGTCCAGACGCTAGGGTCATGGCCGATCACACTTGTTTCGCCAAAAAGACTTAGGGCCTTAGCAATGGAAAGCATTTCTAGCTGTGCCGCCTTAGAAACAGAAAAAGTGGAAGAAAATCAAAAGTCAAAATGTTCTTTAAAAAGAAGAGCATTAAAGTGAACACCACAAATGGAAAATGTCCCCTAGGGGATGTGAAGAGGAACAAAAAGGTTTCTGCTCTGTCTCTGTTGGAGCAGAAAATGGCAGAACGGGGAGCCTGCAGAAAGTCCCTGGACCTTGGGAATGTGGCTGCACTGCTTTGATAGGCACCTGCAGCCTCAAGCACGGGAGGGGAGGAAAAGTTAGGCATCGCCCCCGCTTGGACCTCCTGGTACCAGCCCATGCTGAGGGGGCACTGCTGTCCCCTGACACGCTGAGAGTCAAAAGGGAAATCCCTTGACCCACACTTGTCTGTCCTTTTCAGATCGATGCCTTGACAGAAGTGGTGGCTGCTGTGAAAGGGAAAATTGAAGTGTACCTGGATGGTGGCATCCGAACCGGCAATGATGTGCTGAAAGCTCTGGCCCTCGGGGCTAAATGCGTTTTTCTGGGGAGACCCATCCTATGGGGTCTTGCCTACAAGGTGAGAGTGGCAAAGTGAAAACCATCCGGAAGGTACCACGCTTCTCATTCGTTTCCATGCATTTCTGTGGTTTAACCCCCAAGTTTGGCCGTTTGTTGGAAGGTGCCACAGATTCTGAAGGACAGTGACTCCTCTCCAGCTCCACCATGCTTCCTCGGCAGCATGTTGCCCATTTTCAAGAGCTGTCACCCTACATTTTCCTCTTTGCTTTCCATTATCCCCAACAAAGTTCTAATTTCACAGGTAGCCCCATCCTCCCCAGCACAGCTCTGAGCTCACCTAGAATTTATACTCAGCACATAGTCAGAATGTTCCTTCATGCCTCTTTTTGTCTCTCCTTTTCTCTCTCTCTCTCTCTGTCTTGGGAGCAGGGTGAACATGGTGTTGAGGAAGTTTTGAACATTTTAAAAAATGAATTCCACACTTCCATGACCCTGACAGGTAAGTTTTTACAATTCTTTTCCTGATTCAGAACTGAAAACAGGCCGTCTAAAGAACAGGAGCAGTGGCCCTTCTAGCTCGCCTTTCCCAGACCGAGTGACGCCCAAAGGAAAGAACAGGGAGGAAATGTGCCAGACAAAGATTAAGCACGAACTCAAAATGTGATACATCTACTACAAAATCAAATGCAATTTCTGATTTGGGGAAAGAGGGTCCCGTTTTACTCTAGCCTGCTCAGATCCTATCAGGCTTGTCAGATGTGGTTCTGTGTGTCATCTTTTAAGTAATATTCATGGGCTGTGAAGAGTAGAGAAATTATGTCATAGGGGAAGCATGGAGGAGCTGGGGAGATAGAAACAAACAGGAGGACAGAACGGGGAGAAGGAGACGCATCATCCTGCATAACCACAGACAGCAAGACAAGCATGAATGTCTCGAAGTTACAGGCAGGCTATTTCAGTCAAAAATGAGATGACTGTAAAGCAGTGCTCATAAAAACATATGTGCTGGGCTTCCCTGGTGGTGCAGTGATTGAGAGTCCGCCTGCCGATGCAGGGGACGCGGGTTCGTGCCCCGGTCCGGGAAGATCCCACATGCCGCGGAGCGGCTGGGCCCGTGAGCCATGGCCGCTGAGCCTGCGCGTCCGGAGCCTGTGCTCCGCAACGGGAGAGGCCACAACAGTGAGAGGCCCGTGTACCGCAAAAACAAAACAAAACAAAACAAAATAACATATGTGTTTAGCAAAGCCTGGAATCCCAGAGAGTAAAATAGTGGCTCTCAACTAATGATGGTAACTTCTCTCTTCAGGGGCGTTTTGTTCGGGGGGGTCAGTTTATTTTTTTCTCATCGGCACAATGATACAGGGTGGGTACTGGAGGTATTTAGTGCTCAAAGACCAGAAATGCTAAGTATCCTAAAATGCTTGGAGCTGTCTCACAGAAAAGAATTGTCCCGCCCAAATGCCGATGGCCAATAGCTCTGTCTTCGACAGTCTGCTATAGATGGTAATCAATTGCAATGTGAGAGACAGACAAGACGACCCCCAATAAGACCTCCACCCACGCCTCAATTCTAAAATATGGTGATAACAGAAACCTCCTCCAGAAGTAAGGAAATAATGAATTGAGAGCTCTGAAGTGGAGTCAAGACTGCTTCCACGTCATTAACTTATTTCTGTAGATGATGTGACTGAGCACCTGACATGTGCTAGGCACAAGGCAAGACGTCCAGGTCTTTTCAAGTCTGGTTTTGATCTGATATTTAGACAAGTATCTTGTACTCAGCGTCCAAGTTGCATGGTGTCCACTGGGGCTGCAGACTCACCCTTTTGGGCTTGAGTAGTACAAGCTAGAAAACTTAGATCGGCATTAATGCCAGCACCAGCCCCTTTCCACTTAGCAGTTTAAAAGAAAAAAAAGGGAACTGGATTAAGGAGTCAAGGACCGGGACTGTCCATCTTGGGCCAAAGCCTATGAAGATAAGGCAATAAATGACCCAAGTCGCTCCCTTGAGGGAGGGGAGAACACAAGTGTGAACAAATATCGTATTGGTGCGTTTTGCCCCTCGGGGGTGGGGGGGTTTGTGGGGAGAGGGATGGGAAGACCTATGGTTTCTGCAGATTCCAGGAGATTGAGGTGACTTCTCCTGCTCCCCCAAATATTTTCTCCTGTCCTTGTGAAATGATATCTGAACTTCTTTAACAGAAGCCTATTGGGGGAATTCACAATAACAAAGCTTTTTTATTCCACCAAAGGTTTATATTTAACAACCATTGGGGGTGGAAATGGTGGCTGGAAAATCTTTTTCTGAAATAGAGCATGGAGAGCACCCTTTTTTAAAGGGGGCAGGAAAAAAAGAAGGAAAAAACAGGATTATGAACACTTTTATGCCTGACTTTTTATATTTCTTTCCTTCTAATTGTTCTACAGTGAGAATGTATTGTTTTAAATGTATAGAAAAATTACTAATCAACAACCAAATGTGGGGCGGAGAGGAGGGTTTGGGGAGGAAGAGGAAGAATAGAAAACCTAGGCCGACGGCCATCCCTCGGCATCCTCTGTGTGTGTCGCTCCCCCAGGAAAGACACCCCACAGTCTAGTCCCCGGGGAGAGGGGGTCTCAGCTGAAGGGGGCGCTGTGTTTTTGGTGGAACTCACTAAAGTGCGAAATCATGATGTGAAACCCCAGAGATTCTGTCACCCCTTAGCTTTTCCCTGCACACTGCATCTCAGATGCCTTAACACAAACCTGGCACCCAGGAGGTGATCAGTCAATATGACTACTCTTCCCTAATTCCCCTAGAAATGTGTGATATTCTCCCCTTATAACCCTGAGACATCACAGACCTGGGAGGAGAACACTATTTGCACTACGGTTGAAAGCAAAAGAAGTTTAAAATTAACGTTTTTCTAACTGTGAGACCAGTTGCTGAAATTATATTTATAGAAAGGGTAAAACTGTGATTTGTCTTAAAAAACAAAAATGTGCACATATAAATCATATCAGCACAAGCCTGCACACACCTTACTCAGTTCTCATCCCTTGTAAGGCGAGGGGGCTAAATCAGAAGAGTATATGAATCTTCTTCAGATTTATTGCTGGGAATTAACCACTTTGCTTTAATTTAGCCAAAGTTTTTAGTGTGAATATCCACATAATTTACAGTAATGAAAAAGCAGGAATACATTGTAATTATGCATTCACTCTTAAACTTTTACTGAACCTCTACCAAGAGTAAGGCAATGTCCCTGGTACCTTGTGGGACCCTGACCCATTCTGATGAGTTTACACTGATAAGTATAACAAGTACACAGATATCACCAGGGCTTAGATGTGGACAGATACTTCACATCTCAAAATGGAATCGCAACACTTTGATGCAACTACTGAGACATTTTCCCATAATTTAAATATTTATTTCTACTACAATATATAAGCAGAGATTATATATTGGCATCTCTGTGCTCCTTGAGGAGGTCTGCCTGCTCTGACGCTGCACTATTCTGTCTGCCCTGTGGAAACCCAGAGCTCTCAAACTCATTGTCAGTTCTGACGAGAGCACCTCTGGCTCTGAATTCCTGCTTCTGCTGACTTAATTCATTTTACGGGTTATTTATGTATTGCACACCTGCTGTTTCTGTCCCTTATAATCCACGCGGGCATGAAGCTCAACCATTTCCTCCGCTTCCATTTTTGGGAAAAGACCCTCTCATTAGTTATACTTTTGTGAGTAATACAATTTGCTAGTTAGGTTTTGGGAGGTGACGGTACATACACCACAGATGGGGAAAGAACTTCAAGTGAGACGTTATACATCCTCTTATCACCAGTGATGTCTCACTGTCTTCTGCGCCTACAGTTCTCCAGCTCGTGTTCTCTCTTTTTCCCTTCTCTCTTGACATTTGTCTGGAGTCACTGTCTCCAATCCCTGTGTCTCATCTCAGCGACAGTCCCAGTTTTGCATTTTAATGAAGCTCCTCCACCGAAGACGGGTGTTGCGTTTTACAAAACTTTTTCTTAGAGGGCAGTTGTATGAAACACTCGCCCTATCTTGTCTGCTTTCCCTGAGTCATATGCCTCCGTGACAGATACTTCCTGTGTCCTTATCACGATGGAGATAAAGGTCAAGTGTATCCACTGCACAGAAAGTGATTTTTCAAAAGGCCGAAATATGGTTTTTGCCATGCCGTTTTGACATGGCTGTTTTAAAAGAAGACACAGGCACAGGCTCACGAAATAATTCCCAGTGCAATCAGAATTAGATGATTACATAACATTTAATCAGGGTGAGCACAAGGGTCAAGTCAAGCTTGTTCCCACTAGACCATCTCTTCCCCACAGTGGGGTAGGTGACTGGGGTTTTAGAGAAATGAGCTTTTTAACTACATGGTTCTTTTAGGCTGCCGGTCGGTTGACGAGATCAGTCGGGACCTGATCCAGTTCTCCAGGATGTAGAGAAAGAGAGTGAAGGGACTGACTGCTGAGTTCGCCCACAGGAAGAAGACAAAATCTTAATAGGGTGTGTGATGCCATCCTGCCTCGGTCCCATCCTGTCCACAGGCTCATCCCCTGCACCCTCAACCACTCCACCCCCAATCCCTCATATTCCTCAAATGTGCCGATGCTCTTCTTTGCCTCACTGCCTTGTATATGCTGTTCTCTTGCCTAAAATCCTCCTCTGAAAGAAGACTTCTGAAAAGGGCAGTTCAATAATGACTGAAGTAGCTAGTGGATTAAAATTTTTGAATATACTATGTTTCTATGAAACAGCTATGTAAATATGCACTCTAGACAGAAGAGCTATACATATAAAATATTCCCCAACAAAAATTATACTCCTATCTGTAGATAATAGGGAAATAATATAGTTAAAAGCATAGGCTTTGGAGTCATACAGACATAGGATTGACAGGACTGTGACTTGGGAAAGTTTTTTGATCTCTCTGTTCTTCCATGTCCTTGTCTATAAAATGGGGATTATACTACCTAGCTCGCTAGGACGGGAGAAAGATTGAGATAATGTATGTAAAGTTCAGAGTTCTAGTGTGTTTAAGAAATAGCAGCTTTGGGACTTCCCTGGTGGCACAGTGGTTAAGAATCCACCTGCCAACGCAGGGGACACAGGTTCGATCCCTGGTCCTGAAAGATCCCACATGCTGCAGAGCAACTAAGCCCGTGTGCCACAACTACTGAGCCCGCGTGCCACAACTACTGAGCCCGCGTGCCACAACTGCTGAAGCCCGCAAGCCTAGAGCCCATGCTCCGCAGCAAGGGAAGCCACCACAATAAGAAGCCTGCGCATGGCAATGAAGAGTAGCCCCCGCTCGCTGCAATTAGAGAAAGCTTGCGTGAAGCAACGAAGACCCATCACAGCCAATAAATAAATAAATGTTCCTTTAAAAAAAAAAAAGTAGCTTTTATTATTATTATTTGGCAAATTCCTATTCATCTTTCAAGACCTTGTTCAAACGTCACCTATTCTTACCTGGCTACTTGTTAAGTGTTTCCTATTGTGTTTTGCACATTATACGATTACAATCCTTATTATAATGTGTTATGTTTATTTATTTGTATCTCACCACTAATAGACTGGACATGGCTCTGAGCAAGAAACTATATACTTGGTACCGGGCTTGGCATATAGCAGCATCTCAATAAACGTTTGTGGGATGGACAGATGGATGGATGGATAGGTGAATGGATGGATGGATGGATGGATGGGTGGGTGGATGGACTGAAGATACGTGGGTGAAAGGAGAGATGGAAAAATGAATAGATGCCCTACCAGAGTAAAAATTCCCCAGACTAGTAGTCAGCAAAAATAGACTTCTAGAGCAGGGGCATCCAGCTGGATAAGATCTGACGCTTGAAGTCAACAAGAAAGTTAAGGATGAATTTCCAGTGCCCTAAATAAATAACTTCATAACTAGTTTCCCCATGTTCTCTCACTCCTTGTTACATTCTGTTCTCTATACAACAATCTGATAGATTTATTAAGTACAAGCAAATCCTATACCTCACCTGTTTAAGGCCTTTCTGCGGCTTCCCATTCCACTCAGTATCAGTTCTACACTGATCGTCAGCTCTTCGGGGCACTGTAGGATCATGTTCTTGCAAATCCTTTATCACTCTCCCCTTCGTTCACTATGCCCCAGCCATAATGCCTCCTTTCTATTCCTTAAACAAGCCAAACTCTTTTTTGCCTCTAGACTGTCACCTTTACTATCCCCTCTACATAAAATGTCCTTCCCCAATCTCTTTCTATGATTGGCTCTTTCTAGAAACTTAGATCTCAGTTTAAAAGCCACTGCCCCAATCAAGTGAGAGTTCCCTGACTGTCCTATCTAGAATAGGCTCTACTTCACTCATCGCATTACCCTGTTTTTTTTTTCCCCTCCCAGCACTTACTACAATTGGCAGTTAACTTATCCTTTGTTTGTTTATTGCTAATCTTCAGCTGCACAGCCACATTTATCAGTTGTGGTCACCTCTTCATTCCCAGCACATGGAACCATGCCCAACACCATGGAAGGCTTTCAGTAAATATTTGTTAAATGAATTAATCCAAAAAGACAAAGCTGGATCGAACTGCACTGCCACATATGGAGAAGTATAGAAGTCCCAGAGGGAAAACAGTGAGTTAGGACAGAGCCAAGCCGAACTGGTCACTACCTAAGCCAAAAGACATGAAAAGTCTCCTATCATTCCTGGGTCGACACTTTGCTGCGTGAACTCACGCCATAGTACAGTTCCACTTTTGCCCAGCTTATCCCACATAACCAAGGTCAAGAGAACATTAGATAGCATGGGAAACACAGAGAACACAGTCCTGCAGCAGCCTCTCCGGTCATAACATTTAATGCTATAGCCATCTGCCTAACCCAAATGTATGGACTATATGCCACCTACATATTTATAAAGAGAAAATAAACTATGGTGGTATTAGACAGTCCTGTTTGCCTATACTGGGGTGTATTCAGAACCCAGAATACAGGGGAAGTGAACACCCAGACTTCCAAATAATCAGCTCCTTTGATTCTTCTCTAAATAAATGATCTTTAAAGGGAAGATCAGTAATGACTTAAATAGCTATATTTTTTTACATTCTCTATATCTCTGTGAGATAACTATGGAAATTTGCACTCTGGACAGAAGAGCTATCCATATAAAATATTCCCCAACAAAAATCATATTCCCTATCTATGAGACAGGACAGAGCAGGCGAACCGGATAAAAGAAGGGAAGTAAAGCTAGTGTAGTTAGAACACTTAAAGAGTAGTAGAGGCTGTTTATAGGATTGTGGTGTTTGAAAAGAGGCCCGGGAGGCTAAGCTAGATGTCATTGTTAATGGGTTGATAAAAGGAAAAAGATAAGTGACCATGACCCTTGTGTTAGATCCTAACTTTTTATTCGGTTAAAAGTTAAAATTGGCTCCTGCATTGTTGGGCTGATGGTCATTTTGAGGCCAAGAAGGGGTCTTAATTTGGCAGCAAGGATGGGGTGCTTATGCTAAAATTTAGGGACATGCTAAGGAGGTGCCATGTCTAAGGGCAACTGCCTGGCTGACACAGCAGTCACAGTTGCACTGTGGGACAGGAGGCCTAAGTGAGCAGGGGTGTGAAGAAGGCCCTCAACACGCTGATTGGAGTAGCAACAATGTGCCCTGGAAAAGATGGCAGCTTCACAGGATCAAAAAGGGTTATGGGGCGGGGGTGGTCCCGGTATAGCCTAACTCATGCGCCACTGCAAGGGATCTTGGGAAACTAATGTTAGTTCACAGAGCCAATGCCAGAGACATGAGAGAACAGAAAAACAAATGAAAACCTAAAGTCTGTGACCTAGGATGCCACAGCAGTGTCTATTCTGTGTAGTGTACTGACCTCCAGGAGAGGTAGTGAAAAGAGACAAGAGATTCAGGAACTCTGGAAACAAATTAGACTATACCAGTCTTTGACCAATAAATGAGAAAGGAGACATCTTTATTTCAATCATATTGGGTAGTTTTACTAGATAGATGTAGGCTTTCTCAATAAAGCACTAAAGAGCTCATCCAACTGAAGAAATTAAAGTCTGAGAAATATTCTCTTACCCAGGGGTCTCCAAGAACATGGACTCTGACAGTGGGCAGGCTTCGGGCAGACTCCTGAGAGAACTGGACAACCCAGCCACCTCATGTAGCATGTGACGGCACCTAGATAGACTTTGCTCTTCTCTTCCCTGTTCCTCAGCCCTCATACCCCTGTCTCCAGCTAGGACTCAGCATGACATCCACTGGGGCTTGGTGAACTTCCTAGAAATTCACTCTCTGGAATTCCACTTCTAGATCACAGAACTATGCCTCAGGTACCACGTGTTGAAGGCTCTTCCAATTTGTGTTAAGTCCATGACTTTGGTCTCGTTATTCTCTTATGTCAGAGATCAGATAAGAATATCTCAGAACCTCATTGTCTTTTGTGGTGCAAAAGAATAAATAAGCAGCCTTGAAAATAAGGTTTGAAACCAGAGGAATCATTGGTAAGATAACATCCACTCTCCTAACCACCCCACCACCATCTCATAAATCAGATTTTTTTTTGCATGCTCAGACTATCTTGCTGGCTGATGAACATGCAGTAAAATTCCCCAAGTTTCTCTGTAATAACTGTACTTATTATAGGGACTTCTAAGTAGGCATGATGGCCAGGAAGTCTTTTCAGCCCTGAAATCACCAGGTGGCAGCCTGACTGAGTCATTCCAGACTGGTTTGGGGTAAGAGAAACAAATCACAACAGCATATGGCAAGAAGGCAATTGGGGATGTAGATAATGGAGTTAGCTTACTTTACAAGAGAATCTAGTATAAGTTCTCCCTGTATACATCTACCTGGGTGATAACTGTACTCTTTTTTTGGTCCTAGACACATTTGTGTCATTTTTTAAGTTGCCTTTTCCTTCTGAACTCAGAGGGCTAGATCCAAGATCCAGGATCCCAAGGGAGATGAGCAGGGATGTTATAAAGATAGTGCCAAAGGCTGTTCTCATTGCATCAGAAGTGTGGACAGTGGAATGTCCACAGTCACATGAAGAGATACATATGAAACCTCAGAAGGGACTTCTCGGCCCCTAAAAATGTCCTCCATTAGAATGCATGGATAAAGAAGGCAGAGAAATCTTCCCCATTGGAAAGTTTCAACAATTGAACAGAACACTGGGTATCTAAAAGATAAGCTTTGTTTTCTGAATAAAGAGGATCGGCTTTGGAGTCACCCCAGGGTCAGGTTGTGTTGATTCAGATTCTGACTCCACTGTCCTCAAGATGTTTGGCAAGACTCAAAACATTGTTTGTTTCCTCTACTAAATAATAATACCAATCTCCTTGGATTCTCATCATGAAAATTAAACAATATGGGGGACTTCTGTTTCCCAATCCAGGAGGTAAGGATCTTGGAAGTTGCCGGTCCATTCCAGCAACAAGTAAAAAGTTGAACAAACTGAAAAATCAACAACTTCTCTAGATCCTTCAGAAAAGTGAGGTCACAGGGCACACCACCCCCACCCCCCCAAACTGGAGAGACTGGCAGATACAGAGAATCACAATTTATCTGAGCAGAAATCTATGAGCAGAAGCCTCAGTGAAAACCAGCCCTGGCATCAGAAAACCTGAACTGTAACTGATGAATTGCTGGAGGCTAGGTGTGGACACGTCTGAGAGTTAAAAAACTCTGGGGGCACCCAGTCAGAGGAGGACCCCCCCACCCAATACTTTTGTTTTACTTACAGGAACTCTACTAGGTTCTCACAGTGAACATCAGAGAAAAAAATCCCTAGAGCTTCTAGCAGGGGGAGGGGGACAATAACCATGTTGATATACGCCAGTGCATGCTGTTCTTAACAAGGCCTGCCCTCAAAAGAAACCACTTTACCAGACCCTCACCTACTAGGGTTTTATCAGAGCCCAACCAACTTGGGAGACCGGAAATACCCAACTCCTGCCCCCTCTAGCAATCCTGTCCCACTTTAGCGGGGAAGGGGGGATTGAGAAGTAAAGTTCACAGTCCAGGGGCACAGGCTCACCAAAAGACCAAGATTAATCATAGGACTGTAGAACACTTCCCCAACACACACCCTTCCACCACATCAC